GTCACAGAATTCTCCACAGCGTTGAGGGAATCTCTGCGTTCCGCTGGTTCAGCAATCAATCGATCTCGATCTCTATTCATTCTGTTAGTCACAATTAAGATAGCGATTCTGTTTATTGGTTACTACAACGGAAATACACGCCTACACTAGATAAAGCTGTTATATTCTTAATACTTATTTGTGGTTTTCTAAGATTCGATTGTATTTTCTATTGCATGGCTTGGCTTGAGTTTTCACCCGGGCTAATCCGATTAACAACTCTGCAAATTACACCCAAATGTCACACATTCCCCTACGTCACAGGATGTTCGAAACCAAATTTGCGCCCAGAATTTCCCTAGATAATTCTTTTTTTCATTGGCGGCAACATAAGCTAGCATTCTTGTAGTTATTTCAAATTATATGCAAGCACGTTTCACGACACTTAATCCTCCGCAGCTTTTCATTCTATTTGATGACTGTTCGCTTGTGATGCCCACCATTTACCTCAGAAGTAACCAAGGAACAAATATGATTGCAAATGCCATTTTTAATCGCTAGTTTCGAAATTCCGCTTGACAGGATCTCAAAACAAATAAAGCTAAAACAGGGGCATTTAGCGATTACATTTTCATTATAGCTTGGAGTCACTTGTAAAACATGGGAATACTTGGTCACAAATTAAAAGTTTATGATCCCTCAGTTTGCAAGCTATTGTAATATTTCTTCCTTGCTGCGTGTTATATTTCAAACAGGTGGAAGGAGTATTTTCTTTGCCAATATTGTTCGACTAGTAATTTAATTTGAGGAACGGGAAACAACTAGCCTTATTAACAAAAAACATCTCATCTTTCCAAATACTTCCTTTTATTTGTGTTTTACGATAAATGAAAGAAACTCTGAGTGGTAACTGAATTTCTCGAGTGTTCTTCCAAAAGAATTGATTTTGTTCAGTTAAAACTGGATCCGAAGTCTCACTCACTCGGGCTGTTTTAACCGGTTGTGTGATTAAACCCGACATGTTCCTTAAAACCTTTCAGTAAACAGGCGTTGATTATTTCTTTGCTTCTTCAAATAATATATTTACAAATAGTAAAATAATTGTTTTTTAAGGCACTGAGCTGGTAATGAAAAGGTAGCCCACACCACTGAACAGAAAATAACCGTACCCACAGTGGTTTTGCATGAAATATGAACTTCCTGAGGAAGTCCTGTGATAGCAAGAATGGGCACTTACTCATACAAGATGCCATTCTGTTAACACGCAAAATAAGAATGTGCCTGTTTTGCACGCAGCTTTTAACATTTTCTATGACTTATTTCGATCTTATGGAAACGTTTCATTTCCATTTCGGAAATGATGATAGATTCTCATGAGACAAACTCTTTCCAATGAATTTAGCACCAGGAACTTTGTGGGCGTTCTTTGTGAAAAAACTTGCACACCCTTAGACATTCACCTACGGATCAAATATCTTGTTTGAGTTTCGTATTAAAAGAGCTGCTTCGATGACTCCCTCGAGAGTAGGCTTTGTGAGGAGGATAACAGGAAAATCCAGCTTGAAACCGCGCTATATAACCCGCAGAAGAAAGAATGAGAGGTTTCAAACTAAATAGGGGAAAAATATCAGTAACGAAAATATGTGTTCATTATAGTTTAAATTCGAGCAGTTTTGTTTGGCTTTTGTCTGTCTACCTCAATCCCCCCCAGCTTTTCATTTTACTTGATGACTGTTCGCCCGTAACACCCACTCTTTACCCCTGTAGTAAACAAAGAACAAAAATAATTCCATTTACAGTCTTTGTAATTTTCGAAAAACACAGGCACTCTGTATCTTTTAGGAAATAAGTACACACTAAAATGGTAAAATCTGAGGAATTTTTCTCTTTTTATTAAATTTTGTCGAGTCTCACTCTTAAAGGCACGCGAAAACTTTAAAACACCCAAAACTCGTGTGCACCATTGTTATTAAAAAATCTACGGCGGTGAATCTCGATCCCAACGTAATTTTTGATTGTCGGTAAAGTTAGAGAAACGAAAATCACTGAAGGATTCAAGATTTGAACATCGCCAACAATGATTTACCCTGGGTAGCTTTGCTCTCGGCTTAATAGAAGGCTAATATATAGATCTAGGCCAGCGTAAAAGTGTAGCTCCTGGGCCGGGTTGTTCAGAGCCAAATAACCCAGGTGAAGAGGCAGAGGGCCGACTTCAGACACAACTTAAAGCGAGATTCAATTAGTCGTGACCAGCAACAGTTTATTTGACTTTCCATAGGAGGAAGGTAAATTCCTAAAGATAAACATAAGACGAATTAATACAAATTACTAACCGAAGACGGCAGAAAACTAAGAGGAAAATACAAAACAGATGATAAACTAAACGGCTTACCAAAATGCTGGCAACGGGGTTCTGAGAACCAAGAAGTTAGAAGTGTACCGGACGATAACCTAGCACTAAATGAACATGAAGGGATAACACAAATATATACGCAACGAAATTTACATACGACGCGAGAAAAAAAGCATGTAGAATGTGAAAACATACATTAACATACGGAACAAAAAGGGACACAAAGAAAACACGAAATATGGAAAACACGAGATATAGAAAACACGAAATAGCCGCAACACCAGGAAAAGGTAGGATTTTTATTTTGAGTTTTGTAACTTTGCGGCGAGGTTTTCTGTATATTGTTTGGCCTTCTGTTTTGAGTTTTAATAATCACTATATACACAAAACAAAGCAGCAAAAAGCATTTGTATAGAAGAAAAAGTTATAATTCGGTTAACTTTTAATCCTGGGTTAGCGTTAACCSGCTTCCGAACAATCCTGCCCTGTTTTCAACAAGTTAACCTGAGATGAGCCCGCGATTTAATCGAAAATCGGCACTTGGTCAGCGGTCAACTTCAAAACATCACACGACTTCGATGAGCTGTAAACTTGAGCCAGCGATATGGTCACGTGATACTGGTCAGCGGATACCTTGTTTTGACAGGTGTCAATTGATCATAACATGGATGTCCAATATCAAAGATGTACACGGTGAACCAAGGCTGCATGTCTCTGTCAACCTATTATTTGGAGTATGGCCCCCATGTTGCGCGACTCCGGCGTCGTCGTCGTCGTCGCCGTCGCGCGCACGCGCCCACGAGCAATACCGCTAGCCATGATAACCATGAGAAAATCAACTCATGAGTTTCCTTTTCTTTCCTATATGAGTATGGGGCTCCACTTGGCGGCCCTTCGGGCCGCCGGAGCTCCGCTATTATGAACTTATGTCTGACCGGCAATTATCCGTTTAAGAGAATATCCTTGTCGATAACAATACCAGAATATTACACTTTTGAGTAATTTTAGGGTCAATGACGAACTTTTATCGAGATACGTCAGAGTGAAACTGATGGAATAAACTTTAAACATGATTTAAGCAATAATTTACACAATATTACGACGCCTTTACTGACCGTTTAATTTATTACATTTCAAACTGACGTACGTCGATAAAAGTTTAATAAATTAGCCTTTTAAAAAATTAAGTATATGTTGTATATTATTACGAATTCAACTTTCGGACATATTCATTTCTTATCGGTTTAGTTTCCTAACATAAGAAATTTAGGAAAAACGGTAAAAATGTTTGCCCAAAATCGCTTAGCAAACGCTGGGGTTGAAATTCTATATGTTGTATTGATAAACACAAGAGTCGCTTTTTGATATTTAAGTGTTAATAACAACATTTTGCAGGTCCGTGACCAAGTTCAATTACACAAAAACCAGTTCTTGGCAGATGTTTTCACATTTGGCAGATGTTCAGACAAACATTTCGTGATAAAAACCCGCTCGATATTAAATTCAGCCCGGTTGCCGGATAAGATGAGTGGTTTAGAAGCATCCGGTACAATTAGATTGCATGGTTGAACTAATAATGTTGATGCCAGGCAAGGGCAGGCTGACGGTTTGTTAAATCAGACAATGGTGGAGTGCAAAAAAAAAAACGATACTAAATTAAATCACGCATTCATGTGAGATATAAAGAAAAGACGTTAAAATGCGAGCGTTCAGTTTTTGTTTTGTCTGGAATGAATGTAAAAGTGATGTTGCTTTTTCCATATTGTCGAGTTATTTCCACACAGGTTTTTTTTTCTTTTTTTTTTTTGATATTTAGTTTGAGAATATGGTAATACATTGATACTTTTCCCAGGTTTAATGATTCTCGTTATTCGTATCGCTTGTCTCTTAGAAAAATAAAGACTAGAGCATGGAAAATCTAAACGTAAATCGCTTTTGAGTCAAACCAGATTGGGAATGGGGATCACCTCTCTCCGGCGTTGGAAACCAAAGTCCCGTCCACACTACGCCGGAGAAATTTGAAAACGGAGTTTTCACTCCGAAAACCCGTCAAATGATATGTTTTCCCTCCACACTACGCCGGAGGAATTTAAAAACGTAACAATCACCGGTCATTTTGGATATCTGTTTGAGGAAAACTCGGTCAAGAAAATCACATGTTTATCATGACTACATCGCTTTCGCAAAGCTCCGTTTTTAAAATGTTTTCCATCCACACGAAAACGAAAAGCCTGGCTTTCAGATTACTCCAGTTTGAAGAGCGTTTTCCATTTTCGTGACGGATTAGTGTGGACGGCAGGCCAAACCGTAGAATTAAAGCTGCGTTTTCAAATTTCTCCGGCGTAGTGTGGACGCTGCCTACTAGGTGGTGCTCAGTCCATTAATTTCGTTTCGATCGTGTTTAACATATGAAATCCCACACAGTAATGAAGTTTATTTACCTTTCTGTCTGAATTTGAAACTATTGGCAAAACCATAAAACAAACAAACTCATATGGACTAAACATCTTGTTATAAAAAATTATTCCTACAGGACAGTCTCTTTTTTTCAGCATTAAAATATCAAATGTACTTCACGATAGAGCTTTCCATGTTTAAACGTTGTGGAGTAAAGAGCCCGGTGTCTCCATTAACAATTGTAGAAATGGTTTTTTATTTAGTCATTATACATGTAGATTAAAAAAAGTGAGGCATTGAAAACAGGATGTTTCTAATGACAGAGAATTATTCTGAATTTATATCCTAACTTGACAGGTTCACGCAAATTATATCAAATAAGCAAGAAAAAAGGTTAAATGGAGTAGGCAATATGAAGCAATATAAAGCAATATGTTAATTGACTGAACTGAGAACAAAACACTCTCCATTAGCCAACAGATTGCTCATTTGTTTCTGGTGGATAACCGTCAGGTAACTACTTTTTATAGGAGCACTTGGTGTCTCATTTTTGACAACCACGCTCTTCAGTATGTCGGCCGTGTCCCTTTTAAGTAAATAGCAAACTCTTGCCGGCTTTTTGCCCTGTCAAAGCTGTAGAGGGTTGCATTAAGACCCTTCACTATTTGCTGTAAATTAATCACAAAATGATGCGGTTATATTGATCACTGTTCATATAAAGTACATGCATGCAATTCAAAGCGTGGGCGGAACTCTAAAATGCTTTAGTTTAACTGACTGAAGAGGATGCTAGAAACATTCAGTTAGCAAGGAAGCCGAGCGGTAGCCTCGAATACTGGGGTCGCGGATACAGCTGAAACATGAAGATTCCTCACCAGCGAAAAAACCTCGAGCTTTGTTTGGTGAAATACTTTTTGCTCTCTTCTTTGACACTGCTCTGGCTCCAAGGTATGTGAAGCCGGGAGCCGCTTTGTTTTCGTTACATGGACTGAGTCTTTCAGATATCAAGTTCTGTCAATTCAGGCCCATAGCCAGTAAGGCAAACCGAAGTATTTGCCTTAGTCATTTTTTATCGTTTTCCTTTTGTTGTTCGTAATCATCATAAACACCCAAAATACCTGGGAAGAGAATCTCCCTCAGTCATAAGTTTTAAATGGATATTGCTCAGTCATAATTTTTTTCTGGCGGCGGCTTACAATTCGGATTTAGAAATTTTCGTTTGACCAGTACACTTCGTTGTTAATTTTGAACCATTCGGAAAACAAAATTGCTTAACAAATGAGCAGTTCGCCCATCGCTAGCATTTTGAGTAAAGATCCGGCTGAAATCATAAAGTCAGTTGGTGTGTCTTGAAATCAACTATTTTCTTCTATGTGATAAAAAAAAATTCAAACTTATCCTGCCGGTGTTACTTGGAAAAAACACGAATCATTCACGAGACCACCGAGGAATATATAATATTTAATCTCAACCGGTGTAAACAAGTTACAATTTCAATGTCGCTTGAAGGCGTATCAATCTTGATAAAGAGCTAGAGATCCTGAATGATTCTCTTGTGGCATTACATTTCCGCTCCTACATATTCAGTCGACCCTGATAATTCGAACCTTGCGGTAACTCGAACCGCAAAATCGATTTCTCCCGGATTTCGGTCATACATTTACTGTAATTTTACCCCCGGTAACTCGAACCCACGACAACTCGAACCTCGATCCCGCTAACTCCAAGCAATTTTCATTTCCCGTCAGATCATTTTCTAGATAATTTTACCCTCGACAACGCGTCAAAACAAACAGCACTGCAATCCAAAACATTGAATTTATTTTAAAGCAGGCGTGTGTTCTTTTATTTATTTATTTATTTATTTATTAAAAAAAAAACTCCATAAATTTGATAAAAATGTACACTGTATGAAGAGAAATACAGTGACTATCGCCTTTTTCCTTCTTTCCGGTCAGTTGTTCTGCACTCCCAATAATTCGAACCTTTTCCAATTTCTTTTAAAGGTTCGAGTTATCGGGAGTCTTCTGTATGTAAAATTGCAAAGTTTCCGTGATCTATTCATTCAATACGGGGTTAGAATTGAGTGGAGATATTAACTAAACGCCGGATGTGGGCAAGAGCCATTCAAGACGTTTCCTTGAATAATGCATACATCAACCAATGGCGGAATAATTACCAATTACTGGACAAGGTTGAGCAAAACATCGTGATTTGTCAGTGGCGAGCAGATCAATTATGGCTGAGGCACTGAAGTAACTGATCTACGAGATACTGACAAATAACCATATCTTGTGATAACCCGGTTCAATAATTGTTTTATCATTAGATCACCAACTTTGTTTTCAGATTTAAATCACTTTCTCACCACTGCTCTATAGCTTCTCTTCAATGGATCATCAAAAAATGCAACTAAATTCCCAAAATAGTCTGAAAGCTATCATGGACTATTCATTCATAAATTAACTTTTCTTAAATAACCGGACTGTTCTTATTTAGAAAATTCATTAAGAAAGTTGCTATTAGAGAACGATTCATTTTGTGATCTTTTTCATTACGTGTCAGCCAAAGAGAATCCACGATTTGAACCCACGGCCTCCGAATTAGATCACCGTACCGTCGCTCTAGCGGGTGAGCTAAGAAGCCAGATGGAGAAAATCGTTGATAGCTATGGTGGTAATTCGTGGGAATTTAGATATCAAGGCTATCATTAGGAATGCAACGTAGAACCTTCTCTCGCTTGGGCTCCTAGCTTAATCGGATAGACCAACGTGATCTAACCCGGAGATCGATGGATGGAATCCAACGGAGGTCAAATAATTTGTTTTTGTCCTCTTGCCGTCCTTCAATAGCTGGTTTTCACATGACGTCACTAAAATTCAAACAACAAAACTATTGATCTTCCTGAGATTTTACTTAAATGATGTATAAGAGCAGCTGAA